TTCCCACCAATCTCGCCCACCAAGAACAAAGCATTCCTTAATTTCTCATTGCAATCTATAAGATAGGAGCATAATAGAAATTAAAATGAACATATATAAAACAAAATATAATTAATTGGAGAGAAATTAGAAACCTCTTTGGTTGTAGCAAATGGAGTTGAAATGAGAGAACATCCAATAAAGTTGTTGGTTGAGAGAAGAGTTGGTGACCGGAGATAAGATTTGTTTTTGAGAAAGAAGCTGAGAAGACAAAGCCGTAGAACCAGCCACTGCGAAATTCACACCATGCCTTGTCAATGCATCTTTGTTCAAATAAGGGTTCACCAAGGGAAGTCCAGCGTCCAAAGCTGCAAATTGAAAGGGGAATATGGTCATATCATTAGACACCAATTTGGGGGGCTTGAGAATATTAGTAGAATAAAAGGTTAGAAGGAAGGGATACCAAAGTAATCAATCATGAGAAGACCATTGGAGCAGCGGCCAGTGGATTTGTTGAACAACGTTTCACCGTAAGGAAGATGAGAAAATGGGGTGTTGGGGTTTTGACGAATGAGGTTTCCAGTGTCCGAAATCGAGTCACCCAGTTGGTAGATAGCGTCGAACATGCAGGTTTTGAGTAGATGGGCTGTGGATGAAGGACAGCCAATAACTGAAACAAGAACAAGAAGAACAGCAAGAACAATAGAGGAAGGAGATTTGGTTGAAGGCGCCATTGTGGAACAAATTCTGAATTGGAATTGTTGAATGGTGGAAGGGTGAGAGGTTTGGTTTTATAGGTTACTATGGTTTCCCAATTCTTTTTGGGAAGAAGATAAAAGGGTTTTGATTTGTTTTTGAATTCCCTAATCAAAGATAGGATTCCAACTTCTCTAAATCTTGGGAAATTTCAAATTGGTTTCTTTTTTAGATTTTAGTTTTTATTAGTTTTGTTCTAGGAAATATAAATTCAAATATTATTTGATAAGAAAAAAAAGCTATTCCATTTATAAATTTAAAATAAATGAATCTTCTCAGTTTAGGATAGATCAAATCAAATTTAAATTCTAGAAATCTATCATATATAAAATTAAAAGATTAACAATCAATTAGACTTTTCAAAACAAAAAAACTTCTGGTACTTATTTGACCTAAAGTTAAAATTAAAACAAACTTGATAAACACTTAGAAAATTTTGAAACTAAATAGACATAAATGTGCAAGATTCAAATTTGATCTGTTTGATTTTAAAAATCTATGTTACAAACTTGACATGTATATTATTGAGATTTTTTTTTTATTTATTTATTGGAATGGGAGATCTATCACAGTGGATAATGCAAGTTCTAATGATACAACTATCTCGTATATTATGAGTTGAATGTTTGAATTCATCTGTCTTATCTTAGATAGAGAAATATTAGTATTGTTCCTAAATAATTAACTTGATTGTGAAGGCAAGGTTTAAAAAAAATGCATGACTCCATTTCGAGTTTACCAATACAGTGAAGTATGTTGGATCATCCCTTGAGATTGACAAAATTTAAGATTGATTTTAACAAGAAAAAATTAGATTTAATGTTTGTTTGGATATGGCAACTAAATGAAATTTCATCTATTCAATGTTTGATGCCTTAAAAGTTGAAAAAAACTTTTAAGTATGGGAGGAAGAATTAGATTATGTTGAGTACTTTAAGAAGGGATCATGGAAACGAAAAGTATATGCTACCAACCATGATTGAAAAAACATTGTGTAAAGTTTTTGAAGGTCTTCTATGATGTCATTAAAAACATCAGTTGTTCTTTATATGTGACTTCTAATTTTTATTTTCATGAACTTTGGGGTATTCAATAATTTTTAATTGAGTGGAGTACGGATGTAAACTATGTTTTAAGTAATATGAGTTCAAATATGAGTTTAAATGTGAACTCCAGACTAACATTTCGGCTGATCTAGCTTGGGTCTAATACGCTCAGACCCTTACGTACTAGTTTCAACTCTTCGGATGCTTTTAAGGTTAGTATGACTACTTTTAGCTAGTTTAAAATGTTTGGAGTAAAGTTTATCTACTATTTTATGCAAAATTAGGTTTAGTTAGTTAAAATAATTTGGAGTCAAATTTACATTATTTTATGCAAAATTAGGCTTAACACTCTAAATTATTTTATGCAAATTTAGGTTTAGCTAATTTAAATCATCACGAGTTTAAATTATTTTATGAAAATTTTGGTTAGCTAGTTTAAATTTTTAGAAGTTTAAATTATTTTATGAAAATTAATGAAAATTTTGGTTAGCTGGTTTAAATTATTAGGAGTAAGTTTAAATTATTTTATGCAAAATTAGGTGACCCAATTCCACGGTAGAATTCTTATTTAGAATTTTAGAGAACAACGAAAAGCTAGCATCAAGATGTTGTAGTAGCTTCGACCTAGCCACCCAAGTATGAGACTCAACTATCAGTTGGTTGGAAGAATTGCTCGATGTGTGACGACACGTGCCCAGTGACCCTGCACATGTCATATATGTGATATGTTTGATATGTCTGATGATATGATATGTATTGCTTTATGATATGCCAAGACATGCCAAATAACATTGTGTTATAAATTTAATATCAATTCATATTACGATGAATTATGTTATGATATGAAGTGCCACGATGTACTATGATATTGAAAGTTATGTTATGAATGAAATGATTTATGAAAGCTTATGCATGCATATTATTGAGTGTAATATGTGAGGAATGATAGGGGTTGTTCTGCATGATTTATTTATGATAGAAAGTATGGGGACCTCATGCATAATTTTATATTTACGAATTGGGATACTTCTCCTTTATGATGAGCCCGTACACTATGATACTAAAATGACAATCATGCTTGACATGGTGCATGATGATTGCTGTACATTCGGGTGTCTGGCTATAGTCCAGAGGAGCTAGCTCGACCAACACTCCCATGTGTGCGAGCTCGCCTAGTGGGCCCATGCTCACACGTGTGGGCCGTGTATAGAGAAATGCTACACATCCAACTTGCCTGGATTGGAGACCACCTAAGAGAATATTGTTTTAAATGATAGATCTCATTCATGTTGCATGTGTTTGACAGAGTCAATTACTCAGTATTTCTAAAAAAGGCAAGACACCCTTATACGGTTGACGATGCCATCGCATTAAAAACTATGAAATCTGCCTTAGAGTAGTTGCTTTTTATTTTGTAATTCTTAGGTTATTCTAGGACATCATTTTAATTTTTTATTTAGTTTTATTTTATTTTGCCTTGAATATTTCGGATGGTTTTATCTTAAGACTTTCATGCAAATATATGTCCATGACTTAAAAATTAAGTCAGGATAGTAGCTCTATTTTAGTGGTAAATTAGGATTGTTACAATTTGTCTTTCTGACAACGATAAAGCAAGTCCTCAAAACTCGATTGGGATTTGGAGGAGATCTCTCGAAAAGTATTTAGTGCCCATTTCGGCCAACTCTCCATCATCTTTCTTTGGCTGAGTGGGATGTATTTCCACGTCCCAAGTTGTTTTTTTCAAGCGTGGAAACTTCAGGACCAGGTTTAAGCTTCAAGCTCTTGTGATGATATGCTAGGTGCTTAAGCAAGATAATTCCATCGAATCAAGAATGAATAATTAGACGAAAAACACTATTTAATTTTGGTATCGAGCCCAATTTAATACTCAAACCACGTATGCTTGTATGAAAACATACATTGGGAGAGTAATGAAACATGTACATGATTATAATTTCATTATATTTCTTAGTTTTTGGAATAATATAATGAAAATATCAACCAAATATATTTATTTGTTTTAAAAAAAAAACTAAAAGGAAAGCCAAAATGTAAAAGGAAACAAGTAAAACAAAATTCAAACAATGCAATGAAGTTGTGGAAGTATGTCGTGAATGAGCCAATCTGCCATGAATTTGTAAGCCTTTTGAGTCAAATGGACTCCATCCCAACTAACACGGTCATCTGGATTTGAACAAACTGATACTCCACTAACTCCGCACGTCTTCATAAGGTCGAAGTTATATTCTCCTCCAATCCCGCAACATGATTTTTGCAAAGAAGTTTTATCAAACCCTAAAGACCATGAACATGAATAATTAAGATAACTATTCTTTTTAATTAAGATCTAATACTATTTTGAAGGAGGGTAGAAAAACATACCGAGTATAAAAGCACGACGAAGAATCCACAACAATGCATTATAGTAGTCACCATATACGATTACAGTGTGTGGATTCTCTTTCTTGAGGACTTCAATAACTTGCTTAATTTGATCATTATGATAAATAGCCAAGTCATTCAAATCTTTCAGACAATGAAGTTCATCGTAAGCAATTGTATCATTAGTTTGGAATCTAGTTAGGTAGATGGGTAAACATCCGATTGGAAAGTTTCCAGGAACAACAACACGAGTAGCACCATAGCTTATCACTCTCTACCCACACAGAAAAAAAAAAAAAAGTTAGGTAGATGGGTAAACATCTGATTAGAAAGTTTCCGGGAACAACAACACGAGTAGCATCATAGCTTATCACTCTCTACCCATACAAAAAAAAAAAAAAAAAAAAAAAAAAAAAAAAAAAAAAAAAAAAAAAAAAAAAAAAAAAAAAAAAAAAAAAAAAAAAAAAAAAAAAAAAAAAAAAAAAAAAAAAAAAAAAA